CCACCCCCTGTGAACATCCAGGGACAGGACATAGAAACTGTGGAGAGTTTCAAATACCTGGGTGTTTACGTCAACAATAAACTGGACTGGACTCACAACACTGACGCTCTGTATAAAAAGGGCCAGAGTCGCCTCCACCTCCTGAGGAGGCTGAGGGCCTTTGGAGTCAGCAGGCCCCTCCTTAAAACCTTCTCTGACTCTGTGGGGCCTCAGCCCTCCTCTACGCTGTCGTCTGCTGGGCCCCTGGCAGCTCAGAGTGGGACAGAAAGAGACTGAATAAGCTGGTGAGGAAGGCCACTTCTGCCCTGAGCTGCCTCAATATCTTACTCTGATAATAACAGACGTATTGTTATACTATTTTTGTTATTATTATTATTATTATCATTATTATTATCATTATCTAGCTGGTAAAATTTTCAGTTCAGGCTGTAAAACCTGTCTTCTACTTTAAAGTCTATCTTATTTATTTGAATATTTAACAAAAAGTAAATTATAAGGTAAACTGCTCTATTTGCACTCCTTGTAAGATGCCGTTTTACTTTTTATATTTTATATCCATATTTTGATCTTAATGTATATATAGGTCTATTTTATTGCATGCCTTATAGCCACAGTGTTTAGATATTTTTATAATTCTATTTACCCTATTCCATATTATATGTGTCATCTTGCACGATTGTACCATCAAAAATTCCTAGTTTGTGAACTCCTTCACTGACAATGTCAATAAACCTGATTCTGATTGTGTTTCTCAAAAAACTGCTGTGAAACATTTTGTTTCTATTCTTTCTATTTCTATATTTCAGATTAGGCTTGGTTGGTGCAAAGAAAAATCGAAATAAAATCAAAATATTGGTTGAACATAAATACAGTTTCTATTTTTGGCAAAATTGTTCAGCCCAAGTTGAGGTTTTTCTTTAACTGTAATGACATAGAAGATTCCTAGATCATTTTCCCTTCTCCTTTTCTCTTTTATTTATGTGAATAATTATTTACTGTATTTTTATTTGCAGTTTACAGTTAAAATGCTAACAACTAAAAAGTTAAATCAGTCAACACACCTGGAAATAGAGTAAAATTTGTGTCATTATTGTTCTTTAAAAAAAAGCACATTGTTTAGATTGGAAATTTTTTTTTTTTAAGTTATCCAGAAATGAATAAAAAAAAAAAAAAAACGCTTTAATCCAAAAAAATATATGTAAAATATTACAACAACATATTTATTGGTCATTGTTTTCATCAAGAGTGAGCACTTTTTTAAATCGGGCTGAAAATAGAATGATCTGTGAATACGTAGCGATTTTAAAAGAATGCAATTGATTAAACTCAATCTGAAAAACAAAAATGAAACACAAAACTTGTGAAAATACAAAATCTGCAAATGAATTGTCTTGACAAATAAAAACATTTGAAAATATAAAAACTGTAAAATAAAAAAGACTGTATTTGAAATATTAAAAAATTTAATATAAAAAGTTTAAAATATTGCAATATTGCATCAAGAAGATGTTTCAAGACTGTTCAGCACAGGGGTAGGGGGTGGGGTGCATAGAAGAAAGCACGGTACAAAACACGGCAATGGTGCCTGCTGCTCTTATAAATAGTGGTGTTTCAATGCTGTGATCAACGCGCAAGTCAGTGAGCTGATTGGATACCAAGCCTGGGGAACCCATTCCGGAAACGGGATTGCCAATGGATTGCAGATGCCACACACGCACACAAAATGACAGAAAGATCCGAGCGTTTTAGTTTACCACAGATTGGTGAATTTAGATCAAGATATAAGAAGCATTATTTCTGCATAACATGGCATCAAATATCCTGTAGCTATAAGTAGCCTATAATAATCTTCTATTAATTAATACATTTAATTTCAAAACAAGGTCAGACTGCATGAATGAGCTCAAAGAGCAGAGTTTTCATGCACCTGTAACAGGTAACCTCCCCGTTACTGATGCATGATATGATAACTACATCATTTAATAATCACGTGACAGCTGTGAATTTCTAAAGTTCATACAGAAGTAAATGTTGGTATCATGCACATCCCAGATAGTGAGGACTGGATACTGGATGAAAATTAAGGTTAAAAGAAGAACGCCCGAAACGTCACAACATTTAAAAAATAGATACTCGTGGGTGTGGATTTCTTCTTTTCATCTGCATTTCTAAACTTCACCATGGACCAATTTTGCATTAATGACTGAAACGATGGTGACGAAAATAAAAACCCAATGATGAAAGAAAAGAGTCACTGAGGACGCTGAGGGCGTTTTTATAACCTAGAAATGATCCAGTTTATGCAGCTCAACAATCCTGCCACGTTCAAAGTCAGTGAGCTTTTTTGCTTCTGCCATCAGGAGTTCTTGACAGTGTAAAGACTTGACAGAACATGACATGGAATCCAGATTGTTGCACAGCTTTTGGCTTTTAAAGACTATAATCTTAAACTTTTGATCAGCTGAAAAAATAATGTTTGAGTGTAAATGCAGTTTTCAGAAAATTCCCTGCTCAAAAGTTCTTGTCTCTTACGCTGATTTTTTCCTTTAACATTGTGAAGCTCAACTTTGAACCTTCTTAAAATCCAATAGTGCAAAATGCAAAGTCTTGCAATTTTTTGACTGGTTTTAAGATTTTGATCAGGAGTGTAAAAGTTTGTAGTCAAATTCTTCCTCAATGATACGAAGGCATCAAGATCGTCTTTAGACGTCTTTGTTGTCTTTACCTTTTCTAGAGAAATGGATGTTTGTAAAGCAGCATAGAAACCACGAGGATCTATTCTGTGGAAAGCAGTCAGAATGCAGACAAGCCTGATCAGAAGGCAAAACGATAATAATTATAATTAAATCGCATGTTTTTCTGACAGGTTCTTTAATCCCAGCAGTAAAAACATGTTTGAAAGCAAAAACTTTATTCTGCTATATTATGCTTCTTCCTGCTCACCGTCAGAAACATGAAGCTCTTTCACTTTGTGACAGTAATTATCTTCTTTATTGTTTCTGTTTGAAGCCTCAGATTTCAAAGCAGAGAAATGCTGAATAAATGCTGAGAATATCTGCAGCACAAAAACTAACATCGTCTCCACTCTTCTAAATGTTTAACTGTGTTTTAACTAAACTGTGAAAAGATCTTTTACCTTCACCTAAAGCTGGAAGTGTGGAACGTATGAATAATAAAGCAATACTTTTGCAAAGAAATCATAAAGGCAACTCTCAGCTGACTAAATATTAATATATGTAGGTTTCCAAAAATTTCTGCTCAGTGATGCAGTGGGCAGCACTGCTGCCGTGCAGCAAGAAGATCCGGGTTTAATTCCTGGCCTGGCTCTTTCTGCATGGAGTTTGCATGTTCTCCCTGAGCAGGCGTGGGTTCTCTCTGGGTACTCCGGCTTCTTCCCATAGTCCAAAAACATGACTGTTAGGTTCATTGGCTTCTCTAAATGCTCCTTAGATGTGTGAGTGTGAATGCATTGTTGTTTGTCCTGTTTGTCTCGATGGAAAATGGATGGATGGTTAAATTAATGCCCTACCTAAAAAGTGTCTCACAAAAGTTGTGAAAATAGGAGATCTAGTCCTATTGGATGTGTTGAACCAATGTCCAATAAAGGAATGATTTTATCATCCAAGGTTTCCATCCCAAAGCAAACACTTCCTGATCTACTATGAATTCTGCATTAAACATAGATCTATAAAATCTGCATTAGTTCAAAAAAGAATCTGGGTCTTTATCCAGAGATAAACAGAAAGCAATTAAATATTTTATATAATTTAGGGATTCCTTTGGTAGAAATGAAAGAATGTTTAGCATCTCCTCCTGTGAGCTGGAAGAAATCAAACCTTGATAGTTAGACTAAGGGATTCTTTAGGCTTGGCAGAGGATGATCAGCCACATCTAGTTTATTAAGTAGCGAGAGCAGGGAGAGCCGTACTGCTGAGAGCGAACCAGTGGAGCGTAAAGCGCAGACTCTGAGCTGAGCTACGCAAAGACGCATTTCTGCACAGCTGGAAGATCAGAGTTAGTCAGAGTTCAGCGCGCCGTACCGGATCATTCCGGATTATTTTCTCCCTGCTGCTGCCAGGATCCATCTGAGGTCATGCAGAATGAGCAACGCTGTGTAACACTTGGGCTTGGCTGACTGCAAAATGAGCTCAGAAGTAGATTCGGCTGTAGAGTCAAGGGGTGTGAATAAGCACAAGAAAGAAAATTATGATTAATAGTTGTATATTTATTTTCTAATAGAAAGAGTATGGGTTACCTATATACATGTTAATGAGCTATATTATATAATTTATATGGATATGAATTAATAGAATATACACACAAATGTGACAATCAATATAATTTCAAAGGAAAAAAACAAAAAAAACAAAAAAACAAATATATTCCAACAGGATGATTCAAAAGAGCAAAAAAAAAAAATTAAACTCTTCAGTTTAATTAGTAAAAGGTTCACAGTTCATGAGGTCCATTGGGAAAACAAAATCAGAGGATCCAGGTTTGTGAGAACTTTTTCCTACCACACTGTATCGGTGGTTCTCTGGTAGCTCGCCACCCAATGGACAGTCAAAGGAACAGCACACAACAAAAAAAAAGAAAAAACCTGACCTGAAATCAGGCCAGAATCATGAATTAGTAAAATAATAAACAATAAATTTAATCTTAGCAATAAATAAAAACAATAAGTCAGTTAGTTATGCCATAAATCACAGCACTAAGACACATCAAATAATTTAAATAATAAACAAGATTTCTTTATGAAGCTTCAATGTTTCTAAATATCTCAAGTTAAATTAAAGTGCACTTATTCAAAGATGAAATCATGGGTCAACAAAAACCCAAATTATTTCAACAGTTCCATTTTAATTGTATTGCGCAACACATATCAATAAACAATCAGATCTATTTAAACAAAAAAAAAAAGAACCATGGCTTCTAAGGCTGGAAAAGTTCCAAACAAATTTCTATAATTAACCCAAAGCATAAAATAATGTAATACATTTACTGCTTGGGAAAAATCTTACTGCTTCTTGGTTGGGGAAAAGTTTCCCTCTGAATTAATAAAAAAAATAAAGTCTGAGTGAAGCTGTGGGCGTGTCTGGGAGCTATATTAACTACCCCTGTTAGCGTAGCATGCAACCGGTGTACTGCAGCATCACAAACTCAAAATAAGGAATAAAAATAATATATTTTAACTCACCGATGAGTAGATGATTTGGGAGAGGATATAGGGAATGTCCACCAGGTTATGAGTTGTAAATCTGCGGTATTATTTAAAGGTATACTATGCAACCGGTGTTGATTTTCCAGCGAGGCTCCCTCCAGAGGGCGAAAGTAAAAGTGCACTGTCGTAAATATGCTCAGCTGTTCTCCTGGTTTCTCCGTCAAGCCAAGCGCGGTTGTTTTGAGCTTAGCAGCGAATGACTAACGCTGCGTTCACACTGGATGTAGCTGGCGCGACAGAAGCAGCGAGTTTACATGCAAAGGTCCCGCGGCGCGTTTTGAGCTGCAGGCGCAGCACGTCTGTGCGGCTGCAGCAGCGCGTCGGGTGCATTTAACGCAGGGAGAGAGACACAGCGCTGATGATCACTGCTCTTAAACAGTTTATTGACGCCTAAATTAACTTAAAATGCAGAAATCTGCCGGCAGAATATGCAGTTTGGATTATTTAGATGAAAAACACCTACCAGCTGCCGCGGTGAACCGCTGCTGATGAAGGGATCCATACTGTCGGCGCATCCCTGGTATGTGGGGGTCTGAGCGGCTCCGACAGAAAAACTATTGAAGGCAGGATAATAATCTGGATGAACTGACTGCACTGATTACGTTTTCAGGTGTATTTTCTCACTTAAAAACATATTAAAACTACTTTATTCCCACTGATCACAGCAAATATAGCTGCAAGGCAGAGAAAGGATAGTGAAGCTCCGCCCAACGCGCCTCAGACACACTTTTGCAGCCAGAGCAGCAAAGCTGCTTCAGTGCGCGTCAGTACTAAGTGGTACAAGCAGCAAAAATGAAGCAGCAGATGCGATTTTGCTGCTTTTGCTGCGTGAACGTACCATAACTGCACAAAGATTGCCACTGTGCTAGCAACGAGAATGCTTTTAACTGGGGGCGTGTAGCAGTTCTCGCCGTAAAGCAAGACTGACTCTCACGAGACTTCGGAGCCTGTGGGTGCGGGTCGGTGCTCCTGCAGTTGCAAGTGCAGTATTTCCCCCACAGACCACCAGGGCGGCCGAGAATACCTTTGTTCAACCTGAAATGACTCATTTAGTCATCCATAACGTTATGGAACACATTAATTAACTGAAAAATGTTGCATAGTGTCCCTTTAAGTTATCAGTAAGTTTGAATGAACAATCAAGCATGAGCCAATAGATGAAAACAAACTTACCGAGTTGTAAGAAGCTAAAGTGATCTATAGTGAAGGCATCAGAGTAAATTAAGCAGCGGTGGAGTGTCAAGGCGGGTTTTTTTTCAAAAACAGAGAAGCCACAGCGAGGAGCAGCTGGGAGCAGCGTTGGCTGTAGCATCTGTGGAGCAATCTGTTTGGGTCAGGGATCCGCCCCTTTTTAAAGGGACAGGGCGCACTACTCAGATTGAACCCGGAAGTAGGGCCTTATGTGCTGTGGGTTACACTTTCCCCCCCTTTTCTCATGTACGTCCTCGGACATGGACTCGGCTGACATTCGATGACTGGCTGATGCGATCCAAAGACCACATCTTCTTTGTCCTCCAGAAGGGCGACGGTGAACATGGAGCTCAACCCATGGAAAAGGCTTTGGATGCTTTTCATGAGCTGATGGCCAGGTTTAGAATATTGGAGTCTATCTGGTGGATTCCTTTTACGGACTGGACGGTGAAAGGTTGGTTCAGTATGTTCAGGTGGGTCACTTCCTAGGTCTTCGCTGGAGGGCTCCAAAGAAGGCGAGTTTTCTTCTGGACAGGAGGCTTCAACAGGCATAGTCTCATCAGGTTGAACCTCACTGTGGTCAGGGACGACTTCCACTGCATCCTCTGCAGCTGAAGGCTCAGGTTCCATTGTGGAAGGTTCTGTTTCCATAGTTGCAGGTTCAGTATTCTCAGGATTAACAGGCAATTCAGTTGTACGAGAAGACTGTGGGTTAGGCGGGATTTCAATAACAGTAGAGAATTTCAATGGTTCAGGCATAACAGGTATATGCAGAACTAAGTCATCGTCATAATCATCCTCCATATCTTCAACAGAATCTGTTGGAGAAGAGGGGTGAGGCTTTCTAGCATTGTTTTCAGGTTTCTTAGGTACTGTTGCAGACAAGTATCCACATGGCAGCAGTAGGTCTCGATGTAGAGTCCTTAAAGGTTTTTCTTTACCTTCAGGTCTCACTGTATACACTGGAAGGTTTTCTGCTTTCTTTGTTACAATGTATATTTCACGTTCCCATTTGTCAGCCAGCTTGTGTTTACCCCTTAACCGTACATTTCTCACCAGAACTCTGTCCCCAATAGCCAGTTCAGAAGCAGTTATATGGCGGTCGAAGCGCAGTTTGTTTCGTTCCATTAGTTTCTTTGAGTTGTTGATTGCCAGTTTATAACTGTCTTCAAGATGAGATTTTAGTTTCTGAACGTATTGGGAATGAGATTCAGGCTCATCATCAGTCAATGGTAGTCCAAAGGCTAGATCAACAGGAAGCCTCGGTTGACGGCCGAACATCAGTTCGTATGGTGAGAACCCAGTAGAGTCATTCTTGGTGCAGTTGTAAGCGTGCACCAGGGGTTTTACAAACTCTTTCCAGTGACACTTTTCCCGATCAGTTAGAGTTCCCAACATGTCTAGTAAAGTTCTGTTGAACCGCTCAACAGGGTTTCCTCTTGGGTGGTAAGGAGTGGTTCGGACTTTATTGATTCCAGCCATTTCACAAAGTTCTTTAAAGGAATAGTACACCCAAAACATGATTAGCCTTCATTTTCTACTCACCCCCATGCTGAACAAAACTCTGGAGTACTTTTTTGATATCTCAAATGCATCTGGAGATCTGGGAGGCTTCTTGCTGTCTGCTGACATTCAAATAATGGAGGTCTATGGCGCCCGAGACAGAAAGGTCCACAAAAGTCCACAAAAACGTGTCAATATTCCTCCATACTGCTCGTCCAATGTAATCCAAGTGTCCTGAGTGGGTAGCATCCAGAATTTACTCGAAACGAAGTCATTTAGAACGTTTTAGAGCCTAAACAGTAGTGTATAGGATTTCCTAATAGCGCCCCCATGCGCGCTCACGATTCTACGGAAGCCGGCAGACCAAACCAGCGCATTCAGCTCGGCAAAGAACTCATGCTCTTCCTCAACACTGAAGTCCTCAGACATTTTTCTTCCGTTGTTTCTTTCTTTGCACAGGTAAACAGCACATTTCTTCTTCTACGCTTGCATTATCGGCAGAGCAGACGCTGAATGCGCACTCTCTTCCGGTTTGGTCTGCCGGCTTCCGTAGAATCGTGAGCGCGCATGGGGGCGCTATTAGGAAATCCTATACACTACTGTTTAGGCTCTAAAACGTTCTAAATGACTTCGTTTCGAGTAAATTCTGGATGCTACCCACTCAGGACACTTGGAATACATTGGACGAGCAGTATGGAGGAATATTGACACGTTTTTGTGGACCTTTCTGTCTCGGGCGCCATAGACCTCCATTATTTGAATGTCAGCAGACAGCAAGAAGCCTCCCAGATCTCCAGATGCATTTGAGATATCAAAAAAGTACTCCAGAGTGTTGTTCAGCATGGGGGTGAGTAGAAAATGAAGGCTAATCATGTTTTGGGTGTACTATTCCTTTAATGATCTTTGATTCGAAGTCTGCACCTTGGTCACTCAGAAGCCGCTCTGGTATTCCATAATGCACGAGGAAATTATCCCAGAGACACTTGGCGACAGTTGTAGCTTTCTGATTTGCAGTTGGCACAACAACGGCGTACTTTGTGAAGTGATCAGTCATAACTAGAATGTCTTTGACTCGACCATCTGGTTCTACAGACAGATAGTCTATGCAGACCAGCTCAAGAGGACGGGTTGTTTGGATGTTCACGAGAGGTGCAGCATGTTCAGGAAGGGACTTACGACGTATACATCTTTCACAGGTTTTTATTTTAGTTGCTACGTCAACAGCCATTCGTGGCCAGTAGAACCGGGAACGAACGAGGTCCAGTGTTCTTTCAGAGCCTAGGTGTCCCATTTGGTTATGTAATTGATTTAAGACATCAGCTCGGTATTCTTCTGGCAGCACAAGTTGGTACACTGTCTTTTCTCCCACCTGTCTTCTTCTGAAGAGAAGGTTGTTACGGAGCTCCATTTTATTTACTTCTCGCAGTAAAAGAGGTAGGTCTGGGAGTTGCTCTCTGAGCAGTGGTGGTATTGATTCTCCGTGCTCCAGTTGAGCAATAATATGCTGAATGACTGGATCAGCTCGTTGTTTAGACACAAGTTCAGCAGCAGAGAGTTGTGGAAGTACAGAAGAGGTGAACTGTGTGTCATCTGTGAAACTGTCTGGCACACTGTCAGAATGCACAGACAGCGACAAAACCAGGGAATGGTCAGGATCGGCGTCTGGACTAAAAAGCAAATGACGGTTGAAGAGAGCACTAATGGTCTGTGAGTTGAGAAGTACACATGCCGAGTCATCTAAATGTGTTTGGGTGAATTTGAGTATACGTTCTTGTTCCTTCTTGGAAACAGAATCATTAATCAATTCACCATGGGGTCTACGGGACAAACCGTCAGCATCGGCATTCTGTTTACCAGCTCTGTAAATAATTTTAAAATTGAAAGTAGACAGTGCTGATAACCATCTATAACTTGTGGCATCAAGTTTAGCAGATGTGAAGAGGTATGTTAATGGATTACTGTCGGTTACAACAGTAAATTCTGCCCCATACAAATAATCATGGAATTTTTCACAGACAGCCCATTTGAGAGCCAGGAATTCCATTTTGTGAGCAGGGTATTTTGCTTCACTCTTGGAAAGTCCTCGGCTGGCATAAGCCACAACTCTATTAACTCCCTCATGTTCCTGGTAGAGGACCGCTCCAAGACCAGTGGAACTTGCATCTGTATGCAATATGTAGGGCTTCTGGGAATCTGCAAAGGCTAAGATGGGAGCAGAAGTGAGTTTTGCAATGATAGTTTCAAATGCTTCTTGACACTCTGTTGACCAACGGCCTCCAAATGGTTCTTTAGGGTTTAAATATGTGTTAGACTTTATTTTTGGTTTTAGTTTCTTTTGTGCTGGAGGGTAACCGGCGGTGAGATCATGAAGGGGTTTAAGGATGGTGGAGTATCCTTGCACAAACCTCCGATAATATCCAGCAAATCCAAGAAATGACCGTAGTTCTTTTAGGTTTTGGGGGACTGGCCATGTAGTAAGAGTCTTGATTTTGTCAGGGTCCGTTTCTATGCCCTCTTTAGAAACAACATGTCCGAGATATTTGACTGATGTCTGAAAGAAGGAGCATTTTTCAACTGACAATTTCAGACCGAATTCTTTCAGTCGATTTAAGACCTTTAACAGTCTTTTTTCGTGTTCTTCAAGAGTTGGTGCGAAAACAATGAGGTTGTCGATGAAAACCAAGACTTCTTTTAGGTTCATCTCTCCCATGCATCTCTCCATGAGTCTTTGGAACGTGCTTGGAGCATTTGTCACTCCCTGCGGCATCCTGTTGAACTCATAGAAACCTAGAGGACAGACAAAAGCAGTTTTTGCTTTATCAGACTCCTCCATTTCAATCTGATAATAACCAGATTTTAAATCAAGAACTGAAAACCAGGTAGATCCAGACAGGGCAGAGAAAGTGTCCTCAAGTTTGGGCAGAGGGTAGGCATCTTTGATAGTTTGCAAATTGAGTTTTCTGTAGTCTATACACAACCTGATACTCCCGTTCTTTTTACGCACAACTACTATGGGGGATGCAAATGGTGATTCTGACTCACGGATTACTCCAGACTCCAACAGCTCCTGTAGATGTTGTCTTACGGCTTCAATGTCCTGAGGATGAATTGGCCTGGGCCGCTGTTTGAAAGGACTAGCATCAGACAGGTTAATATGATGCTTAACTTTATCTGTCCTGCCAAAGTCTAGGTCATGCTTTGCAAAAACTTCAGGAATGCTGTTGAGCTGGTCTGTGATTCGCTGTTTCCACTCAGGTGTTAATGGGGAGTCTCCAAAGTCATACTGAAATGGTGATGAGCTATTTGCAGATGGAATTGAATAGCTGCTTTGTTGGTTGGTATAAATGGTCTGGAAAGCGCTGACTTCTGCAATGGTTGTTCGTGCTGGGATGGTAATGGCATGTTCAGACTCGTTTGTAATCAATACCGGCAATTGGCATGGCTGGCGAGGTGGCAAGTCGGCAAGACATGTCTTGACTATGAGACCACCAGGCAGGGTGCATGAAGTTGGATGTTCAATTAGAACTGTTAGGTTTTATTATTTATACATCATGTGCACTGTTAATTTGTTAGTCAGATTAGACAGAGCAGAAGGCCTTCCTTCACATTGTGGATGTCGTGGTGTGTACGGAGGTCATCTAATCAAGACAGCCTTTGTGTCTCTAAGAGTACAAAGGATATGGGCACATCTTGGAGCCGGTCTGATAGGAGAGCTGCTGTATCTGTAACCCTGAGACAGAGAGGCAACCTGCATGGAGTTCAAGACATGGATGGTGTGTCAGTTTCTGATACGGACAGCTAAATATCCACATGATGCAACACATAGACTCACAAGGTATAAGAAGCAGGGGATGACCTTCATCGGGGCTCAAACTTTGCCGGACGCTTGCGGACGTGATTTTTGAGACCACAGCTGTGCATAGCTCTAAGCATTTTTCTCTGTCTTGTAACGACCTGATCTGGAATAAACTCTGTTACTTTTTTACTCCTGTTTTTATAGTCCTTTTTCATATGGTTTTACCGAGTTTGAGTTAAGAGTAGTAAATAACTTGCTCCCAGGAAAAGAACCGTGTGAGAAGGCCCCGGGTCGTTACAGCCTTTACTTTGAAGGGGACAAATCCTTCTCACTTTAACAAACAGATTTTTCTCCTTGCAGCGACCGAGTGGCCAGGGTACCCTCAAGGACAGTTGTTTGGCCAGCAGAGATGGTGTATGCCTCGGGAAGCTGCAAAGCAACATAATTGCCATCCAAATTACACCTCTGGCGATGATGAAGAATCTGAACAACAGCTTGGTAACCTGAAGTAACAGGCTGACAAAGCTGACTGGGATTTTTGTCCTGAATCTGGGTATAGGCCAAATCCAGTGTGTTAGTACCAACCAGAATTAAGGGTTGGGACTGCTTTAAGTCTGGAACCACTAGTGCTAATGTATCTATGGAGATGGTGGTACCCAGAAACTCAGGTGGAAATGTAATGTTTAATTCAATGTAGCCCAAATATGGCACACATTGTCCGTTGGCCCCCTCTACTTCAAGGATGTTGTTCAGAGGTTGTATCGTATGGTCATTGAGATGTGCATTATAAAAGGAATGTGGCACTGTTGTGACCTGGGAGCCGGTGTCAAAAAGACAGTTGAATGCATTTCCTTTTATTTGTATTTGGCCAGTACATTTTGTCCCCACAAGGCCTCTTGGCAGGCGTGGCAGTCTGGGTGGTTCTTTAGGACAGCTTTTAGTTGCAGCTCCTGGGTGTCCCGTCACAGAAGCTGCTGCTAGTTTGACTGATTCTGCTTTGCGTTCCATGCTTGTTGTTTTTGCCGCAGTTGTTTTTTCTTTTGGTCAACCAGGCGGGAGTTTGATGCGTTCTTACAGGTTGAAGAGATATGTCCATCCTCACCACAGTTAAAGCAATACCAAGGTTTTGGATGGTTTGATGACTGAGGTGAAGTGCAGAAGGACTGGCGTGGTGCTGGCCTTGACTCCATTTTCTTCTGGGCTTTCAGGAAGGATGACATCTGGCATTGGAGTTGTTGGATCTGGTTCTTCAGCTCTTTAAGCTCGTCACTAGAACTTGTGTGGCCACATGAACAAGTGCTTTGTGACTGAATGGTAACCTTTTGCTTGGAAGAACTTGATCCGATGTACTTCTTCATCAGCAGCTCTTTTGCCTGTTGCCTGTCCTCTTCTGTGCGCAGAAGCAGCAGCAGTTCAGAGAAAGGTGGTGGATTGCCTCTGCGTTGTTCGAGCTGCAACTTGGTGATAATGTCATTGTTCCAGCATCCACGCACAAATTGTTTCAGCAGTTGTCTGTCCATATCATTAGCAGTCACTCCTCTTTTCCATACAGTTGTCAGCATAAGCTGAAGCCGCTGGAGGTAAGATGATGCTGTCTCACCTGGGTTTTGGAGTATGTTCAGGAACTGGGCATATAACTCTTCACCGTCTTGTACTGTGCCAAAAGCTGAATCTAGATGACGCAGTAGCACAGCTGGCAAAGTGTTAGGGCCCAAACCTTTAATAAAGTCAGCAGCAGGAACCAGCAAACTCTCCATGATCCTCCTAGTTACATGCAGGGCAGAAAGGCTCGGGTCTGCAAGTAATAGTTCAATTTGTGAACGCCATGATTCATAGTCTGCTTCATTACTGGGCTTCGGAACACGTCCAGAAAATGAGCGAAGGCGTAGGGAAACTGGAGCAGTCAGGTCAGTGTTCCTCACTACATGTTCAACAACAACCCTCTGAATTTCAGGAGGATTGAGATCATTAGGGTTCAGAGAAAATCTTTGTGTAGAACCAGTATGTATGGGATCTACTTGATGGCTTTGGCGTGGTCGTGCCCCGAGTTGTTCAGTGCTTGTAGAAAGAGGGGATGGCTGAGAGGGTTGAGGTGCAACCAATGGAGCTTGTACCTCAAGCGCAGCTGGTGCGGTGGTTAAACCGGTCATTTTGGTTTCTTCTGGTTCTGCATCCTCTCCATTTCCAGTTTCAATTGCTCCTTGTGTCTTCAAATGTTGGTGGATCTGGTCCATCACAGTTTTGAGGATGTGCTCAAAACTTGTCCCACTCTTTTCAGCCATTTCTTTAAAACTGTGGATGTAGTCAGGGATATGGCTGCTGCTCCCCGCTGTGGCAGCATACTCATCTTTGAGAGCAGTGACGCAGTACACGCGGTTAGCAGCAGACTCGGATTTATATCTATAGGGCAGAAGTGAACTTATAGCAGAAAAGCTACTTGCTTCTTCAAACTCAACGATAAGGTTTTTATAGAAGGTGCTTTTTGGATCAGAAACCGATAGAACTGTTTTAAGTGAGCCATGTGTGCGTAATATATCAAGGATTTCATTATCTGATGAAGTATTAGTTACACCCGAAATCAAAACAGCTTGTGCTATATTGATACCTGTTTGCGCAACAAAATCCATGTTTAAATCAGAAGATTATTCACACCGTTTGACTCCTGGCTAGCTCGCCACTTGTAACACTTGGGCTTGGCTGACTGCAAAATGAGCTCAGAAGTAGATTCGGCTGTAGAGTCAAGGGGTGTGAATAAGCACAAGAAAGAAAATTATGATTAATAGTTGTATATTTATTTTCTAATAGAAAGAGTATGGGTTACCTATATACATGTTAATGAGCTATATTATATAATTTATATGGATATGAATTAATAGAATATACACACAAATGTGACAATCAATATAATTTCAAAGGAAAAAAACAAAAAAAACAAATATATTCCAACAGGATGATTCAAAAGAGCAAAAAAAAAAAAATTAAACTCTTCAGTTTAATTAGTAAAAGGTTCACAGTTCATGAGGTCCATTGGGAAAACAAAATCAGAGGATCCAGGTTTGTGAGAACTTTTTCCTACCACACTGTATCGGTGGTTCTCTGGTAGCTCGCCACCCAATGGACAGTCAAAGGAACAGCACACAACAAAAAAAAAGAAAAAACCTGACCTGAAATCAGGCCAGAATCATGAATTAGTAAAATAATAAACAATAAATTTAATCTTAGCAATAAATAACAACAATAAGTCAGTTAGTTATGCCATAAATCACAGCACTAAGACACATCAAATAATTTAAATAATGAACAAGATTTCTTTATGAAGCTTCAATGTTTCTAAATATCTCAAGTTAAATTAAAGTGCACTTATTCAAAGATGAAATCATGGGTCAACAAAAACCCAAATTATTTCAACAGTTCCATTTTAATTGTATTGCGCAACACATATCAATAAACAATCAGATCTATTTAAACAAAAAAAAAGAACCATGGCTTCTAAGGCTGGAAAAGTTCCAAACAAATTTCTATAATTAACCCAAAGCATAAAATAATGTAATACATTTACTGCTTGGGAAAAATCTTACTGCTTCTTGGTTGGGGAAAAGTTTCCCTCTGAATTAATAAAAAAAATAAAGTCTGAGTGAAGCTGTGGGCGTGTCTGGGAGCTATATTAACTACCCCTGTTAGCGTAGCATGCAACCGGTGTACTGCAGCATCACAAACTCAAAATAAGGAATAAAAATAATATATTTTAACTCACCGATGAGTAGATGATTTGGGAGAGGATATAGGGAATGTCCACCAGGTTATGAGTTGTAAATCTGCGGTATTATTTAAGTTATCAGTAAGTTTGAATGAACAATCAAGCATGAGCCAATAGATGAAAACAAACTTACCGAGTTGTAAGAAGCTAAAGTGATCTATAGTGAAGGCATCAGAGTAAATTAAGCAGCGGTGGAGTGTCAAAACAGAGAAGCCACAGCGAGGAGCAGCTGGGAGCAGCGTTGGCTGTAGCATCTGTGGAGCAATCTGTTTGGGTCAGGGATCCGCCCTTTTTAAAGGGACAGGGCGCACTACTCAGATTGAACCCGGAAGTAGGGCCTTATGTGCTGTGGGCTACAGCTGCATGGCAGGTGGGGGCGTGGCCAAACAGGACGCAGCGGCACGGCTGATACTGCTTAGCAGATTACAGCACCATGATGCACTTTAAAACACTTACAGACCATCTGCTAACGTCTTCATTTAGTCTCGTCTCGTTGACTAAAACTCAAACCCATGACTCGTCATGTTTTAGTCATCAAAGATCCATGTTTAGCTCGTTAGTTTTCACTATCCTCATGAGAAAAAGGAACGTCAACGAAATAATTTCATCATCGTTGAAGAAAACATTACTGGTGGGTTTGGTGTAAAAATGTGTAGCATCGGGCTGTGCTATGGACACAGAATAAAAATTTAGTTTGAAGTTAATAGAAAGAAGTAACTTTAGAGGGAGGCTGACGTGTGAATAAAGAGGCCGTTTACTGCTGAAAGGAAAGGGGAAATTAATTCTATTCTTATAATATGCAAAGCAGTATCAAAGTAATCCAACTAGAATGACCAATGTGATATTTCTATAACATGGATGTTATATGTTATGGATGTAATGATCTATCTAAATCTAGTGTAAAGTGTGGTGTCGTAGGAAAAAGGTACTGAACTATTCACTCCAGTTAAATAAACAGAGATTGATGGAGTTCTAATGTTGGACTTCTGTCAACAACGAACACCATGTTCAAGCATAATGGTGTCCATATGTGATCTTGGCACCAGTACCCCCATAGCCGTAGTTTAATAATCGGCTTTGTTGTTGTTTCATGTGACCTGCATACATGTGTCTTAGACACTTGGTTGAAGAGAGGGGCGGAGCTCTCCACCGACCACTACTGGTGGTGTGTTGGCTCCGATGGTGGGGGAGGACCCGGTCAGACCTGGTAGGCCCAAACATATTGTGAAGGTTTGCTGGAAACATCTGGCAGAGTCCCCCGTGAGAAGGAGCTTTAACTCCTACCTGCAGTAGAGGTTTTAACACATTTCGAGGGAGGTGGGGTACAGTCGGAGCTGTGGTTGCAAGGTTGTCGCGGCGGCAATCCTTAAACACACTGGTGGACACCAGCGGTGAGGGAAGCTGTCAAGCTAAATGAGGAGTCCTATCGGACTCTGGAAGCAGCTGATGTACCAGCAGTCAACACAGCAGGCTTTGACAGGCTTTGCTCGGCTGGTCGCTGAAGCAAAAACTCGGGTGTGGGAAGAGTTTGGAGAACCCGTGGAGAACGACTTCCGTACGGCTTCAAAGTTATTCTGGTCCACAATCCGGCTTCTCAGGAGGGTGAAGCAGTGCAGTACCAACACTATATATGGTAGGGGTGGAGTGCTGCTGACCTCGACTCGGGACGTTGTATGTCGGTGGGCGGAGTACTGCGAAGACTTCCTTAATCCCACCCCTTCCATTGAGGAAGCAGAGCCTTGGGGCTCCGGCTTGGGTCCTCCCATCTCTGTTGCTGAAGTCACAGAGGTGGTTAAAAAGCTCCTCGGTGGCAGGGCTCCAGGGGTGGATGAGATTCACCCTGAGTACCGTAGGGCTCTGGATGTTGTGGGGCTGTGTTGGTTAACGCGGCTCTGCAACATTTCGTGGACATCAGGGGCAGTTCCCCTGGATTGGCAGACCGGGTCGGTGGTCCCTCTATTTTAAAAAAGGTGACCGGAGGGTGTGTTCCAACTATAGAGGAATCATACTCTTAAGCCTCCCTGGTAAGGTCTATTCCGGGGTTCTGGAAAGGAGGGTCTGTCGGATAGTGGAATATCGGATTCAGGAGGGGCAGTGTGGTTTTCGTCCTGGCCGTGGAGCACTGGATCAGCTCTACACCCTTAGTAGGATTCTGGAGGGTGCATGGGAGTTTACCCAACCAGTATACATGTGTTTTGTGGATCTAGATAAGGCATTTGAACGTGTTGCCTGGGGGGGTCCTGGGGGGGCTACTCCGGGAGTATGGAATACTGCGCCCTTTAGTAAGGGCTGTTTGGTCTCTGTGAGAGTTGGACTCTGCCATGTTGTGAGCTGGAAAAGGGTAGAGATTCTTCTCCGGGTTGGGGAGGATGTACTTCCCCCTAGTGGAGGAGTTTAAGTGTCTTGGGGTCTTCTTCACTAATGAGGGGAAGATGGAGAAGGAGATCGACAGGCGGATTTGTGCTGCGTCTGCTGTAAAGTGTGCCCTGTACCGGTCTGTTGTGGTTCAGAGAGAGCTGAGCCAAAAAGCAAAGCTCTGGATTAACCGGTCGATCTACATTCCTACCCTCATCTATGGTCATCAGCTTTGGGTCATGACCGAAAGAATGAGATCCCTGATCCAAGCGGCTAAAATGAGTTTTCCATCGGGGGGGACTCAGAGTAGAGCCGCTGCTCCTCCACATCGAGAGGAGCCAGCTGAGGTGGCTCCGGCATCTGATCAGGATGCCTCCTGGGCGTCTCCCTAGCTAGGTGTTCCAGGCACGTCCCACCGGGAGGAGGCCCAGGGGGAGACCCAGGACACGCTGGAGGGACTATGTTTCTCTGCTGGCCTGGGAGAGCCTTGGGATTCCCCCGGAGGAGCTGGACCAAGTGGCTGGAGAGAGGGACGTCTGGCAACTCTGATGTCTGAGCTAACTCTTCCAGGTCTGATCTGAATTCTGCATGGAGTGACTCCAGTCAGGATGTACCCCTTAAATGGCAGGAAGGAAAAAAAGCAATGGTTAGTTTAAGAAAGAGTTTTCAGATGAATTAAAAAATGCAGCTGTTCGTCTTAACAAAATAAAGAAGTAATGTCGTCTCGTCGCCCCATTTAATCCTTCAGCCTCTTTAAGTCCCTTTTCTCTCTCAGCTGATTTTAAATTATATTTTTGCTTTTTAATCTGTAATTCAATTTTAGTTTAATTCCTCCATTTTTAGAACATTTCACCTGATTTTATGTCCTACTTACTTTAATAATTTGAGTTTTTAGCTATGAGTTATTCATTTCCTGTAAGAGTTTGGAGTTTTCAGATTCACAACAGAAATTAAAATGCATTTTTTTTCCACTTAGGATAGTGTAAGGTTTAAGCACTGCCTTAATTTTAACCTGTTTCTCTCTGGGCCTGAGGTGATTTCTTGGAACCTCGCCTCTTTCTAGTTCCATTTTGTCAGAACATCAAGTCTCTTTCCCTCATATCTTCATCTACTGGTAATTTGACCATAATCAAAATATGCACATGAAGTCCGCTGGTGAAAGATGGAGGGGAACCCTCTATAGGACACTGATGTCTCAGCAAAATGACATATCTTTGCTATATTTACAAACCTTCCTCATTGTGTGTAAAAAACAAATCTACCTTTCTCCCCCAATAGAAACTGTTAGCTCTAAATTAATTCTAAATCTAAAACTCTTTGCCAACCGAAGATATCTCACCGTCTCAAAAACATCAGTTTGTACTTTACTGCTGATCCCTGGAAACAATAAGTCAGAATTCCCCCTTCTTCCATCTATTTGGGTTGAGGTCAGGAATTAATCCCAGGTTGATCAGAAACTTTCATACCTGCTCACAGAAAAATCAGTTAAGGAAATCCACTTGACAACACCAAATTGTTGTGGAGGAAAGATATCTAAATCAAATCAAATCAAATGTATTTGTATAGCCCTTTACAATAGCCAAATGGTACCCAAAGTGCTTTACAATAAAGCCATAAAACAATACATAACACATATAAAACATACAAGATACAATTAAAAGTGCTGTAGTGGTGCAGCGCTGCAGGACATTAAAAGCCTTCCAGAGGTGCATAGAAAGGAGCAACACAGAAAGAGGACATCTAAGAGACAGTATTATAGTCAGAATTAAATGCTAATTTTAAAAAGTGGGTTTTAAGCTTTTTTTTAAAAGGCTGAGGTCAGTAGTGGTGCGGATGTCAGGGGGTAGTTTGTTCCACAGTCTGGGAGCAGTGACGACAAAAGAACTATCGCCCCACTGTTTGAGTCTTGACCTATTGACCTCTAGCAGAAGCTGACCCGAGGAGCATAAAGCTCTGCCACAATTGCAAAAAGTTAAAATCCCAGACAAGGAAGAGGGGGCCACGCCATGGATGGCGTTAAAAACAAACAGCAGAAGTTTAAAATCA